AAATTTTTAACCAATCAAAATTCTTAAAATTATATATATACACCAAATTTTTAAAAATCAAAAATCTTAAATTGTAACTACTTTTTTAAAATTAAAAATTTTAAAAATCTCTCTTTCAGATTTGTTATTTAAATAAAAAACTACAAATTTGAAAGAGAGATTTTTATTTTATCTTGTTTTAAAAAAGTTATAATAATTTAAAAAAAATTAGATATCTTTAGCTGTCCTGCACTGTATAAATTATATCTCCAAAAATTGTGTTAATTCGGTTCAAATTTACAGATTATTAGACTCTTGGCAATGAGTTTTAAAACTCATTACCAAGAAACAAATGATTTGTAAATTTGACTATAATTAATCTAATTTTTGAAAGTACAATTTACATAAATCAAAAATTAACCTATATAAGGCTGTATAAACTAGTTCTCATAACCCAGCTGGGTCAAATTTCGCAAAATTCTTAAAAAATTTTTTGACTATATTTACTATACAGGTGAAGTTTTTTCAGAAGTCTATAAAAAGTTCTATATGCATTTTATATATAAAATTTTTGGAAAAATAAAATTAAAAGCCGGGTTACCGGATCATTTTTTAAATTTTATATTATAAGAACCAAAAAATTAACTTTGTATGGCCTAATCTCTTTATACTAATCATTTATATATAGATATTTATTATACAAAAGCAGATTTCACCCATTATATGATCTATGTAGCAGGTTTTACTAATTTACTTTATGCTTTTAAGTATTGTAATTAACCGGGTTTTCTAATGTAAAAATGAATGACCTCAAATTATGAACAAGGTTAAGAAACTTTTTGATATAAAGCTTAAAAATTCCGATTTTACAATATTTAAATAAGGTTGCTAGCCATAAGTAATAATTACGAACATTACGGATTACAACCTGGGTTGCAACCTTAATTACAACTAATACTCAAAGCTGTAAAATGCCGTATATACTGTAAAATGCTGTAATAGCTGTAATTGCCATAATGGTTGTAAATGCCGTAATGGTTGTAAATGTTGTAATAGAATGTAATTGCCATAACAAAACAAGTATCTGCGATTCTTTTTATTGGTAATCTAATTCTAATCAAGTTTTTAAAAAAAAACTCTAAATAAAAAACTTATGCAATCAAAAGGCACGATTTTTTGTATACAAAATATGGCATTAAATTGTATTTTATTAAATAAGCTACAATTGAGAATGCTTAGATTCTCAGAATTCTACAGAACAATTGGGTATTATAACAAGATATGTATAATAACTTTTGAGTAAATTGTGCTGATCCAATCAGGATTTTTAATATTTTTAGAAAAACCTTGATCGAGGATAACCTTATTTTGTAATCAGATAATCCAAGACTTTTTGAATGATAGGGATGAATTAAAATTGTCAGCAATAGCTAACTTACTATAGTTCAATAATGCGATCGATTATAGTAATAGTTTGTATACATGAAGTTACGTATTAATTCGACGTGATTGAGGCACTTAATTAATTTGATCAGGTTACATTATCATAATTAAAGTGATTAGTAATTAAAGTAGTTAATTAGTACTATCAATATTGAGAGTTGATACTTATAAAGTAATAGAGTAATACTGAAAAATGTAATATGATTGTTAAGTCACTCAACAGTCGAGGTAATAAAACAATAATAAATACAACACTTAAACTTAAAACAAATGAGAAATCAATTCTTATATCCTTTTATAACCAAGACATCGAAGTTTAAAGCTTTATTAGAAGCATAAAAAGGCAGCATTTTCATACTTTCAAGATACATTAATAATTGTATATATAATTAATATACTCTAATTACAATCTATGTCTATATTACCTTCTTTAACTTTATTAACCTTAGCCCGACCAGATATATACCTTCTAAATCTATCTATAGACTATTGTTCTAAGCTTTAGTTTATGTTTAACCTTTATGTCTTATAACAAACAACAAAATAGAACAATATAAAAATAAACAAATATGCTGAATGAAATAAATATTAGAACAAATCTAAACTTCTAAGCCTCTGCAACCAGCTTAAAAGCCTCACAATTTTCTTATAATTCAAACTTTAACCACTTCTCGTTACTACCCATACACTATACAGTTATGATTTTCCTAGAAAAATCGTAACAAAAGTAGTAAGAGATTTGTCCAACTATACAAAAGACGTGACAGAGATTTTTTTTTATTATAGGGTGAATTATTTTTTAATCATTTATATAAACTAGTTTTTTTCAAAATTGTACTAACCAAATATATCAATATGAGTCTAAAAGCGACAGAAATCCAGAATTCATACTGGTATATAGCAGATAGGGTCACGTACACACGTACGTATATACGTTAGTACAGTGAATCTAATTAAGCATTATATCTGTTTTGACTATTACATCCTTAATAACCATTACTCTTATCATTATTACTCATAATACCTATTACAGTCATTACAGTCACAGCATTATAGCAATTCCACGTATTACAACCATTACACCTATTGTGACCATTACACCTATTATGATCATTATACCTATTGCAGCAAAAAATTACAACTTCAATACAAAAGGTTGCAACTTTACAACCTTGTTAAACCTATTACGGCAAGCAACCTTAATTTTAAATATATATTTTAATATACTATGACTGAAAGTTTAATTATTGAGCTTGACCTATGTGATTATTAGCTCGGGCCATAACCTGGGTTGAGAAAGTTTGAGTTGATCTAGATAAGAGCTCTAGATGTTTTGCAAATCAGTATAATATAGTTTTATTAGCCTATATGCACACCCATTTGTCTAGGTTATCTCTTATATAATTTCTAATTTTTAAAACCGGAAGTGAAGCGACAGGTTACGTACTAGTAATAATTAAAATTATGTAATGAATTAATTTTTTCTTATTTGAATAAAAATAAAACAGCATTAAAGAATAATTGTAATAATAAGATTGGGATTTAACAAAGAAAAAGATGATGTTGATATCTTTTTTTTTCTTTGATTTTATATTATAAATACTATAAAAGGTATATATAAAGAGTAGTCAGTTAAGATAGAATGGCTTAGGTTCATTGATAGTAAAGTAACAAAAAATTTTGATTTTATTCTTTCATTTACTTTATATTTTTTTATTATAAATAAAAAATAGATTTTCTCTTGACAAGCTGAATTTTGTGCCTTACAAATAGGGATGAACAAGTCCGGTCCAGTCTGTCCGGTCCTAAAAAGACCGGTCTATTGATGTTTTCAGTCCAGTCCTCGGTCCCAATAACGGTCCTTAATTATTTAATCTTATTGGCTAGCGGAGAAAATCAAATCATATGACGTCGGTAATTGAAAATAAAAGATTATGTAACATATTTTTTAATTAGTTATTTGAATTATTCATGAGGACCGGTCCAGACTGGTCTCAGGACCGAGGACCAGTTGACCGTAAGACTGGTTAAAAAGACCGGTCCTTATTCAGTCTTTTCAGGACTGATCCATCCCTACTCACAAATATTTTATTAATAAAAACCTCTAAAAATCAACCCAAACTAAAACTCTCTTTAAATCTTGTCCAGCATCTCTGTAATGCATACTCGATAGTTACCTTAGACCCTGCCAAATCGTATTTGCCTCATTCTAACTGTCAAGTAACGTTACGCGGCGTCTTTGACTTTGAAACTACAATTCGTCACATTTCTCCTGTTGTGGGTGTGTGTTTTTGTCAATATCCCCTTTGACACTAAGTAAATGGTGACAATCAGTTCGACCAGCCAATCAAAATCCATAATTTGCGGACGGACAATTATTTTTATAATCCGATAAAATTTTCTATAAATTTATCTTTATTCTCAATTATTATGCATAGGTTTAGTAATTTTCATGAATTTTCCATAAATATGCTACATTTATGACTTTATTTGTACACGAAGTATGAAAAAATTAAGCTTGATCTGTTTTTACAGGATCCATCGTGTTCGTCACATGATCAATTTTCAATTACCGTACCAAAATAAGTTAAAGAAACTCGGCTGACTTCGATACGCGGTGAAACTAAAATATGATTATCAAATAACATATGTTAAATGGTCGTACATACGTACGTACATTACTGTATGTAGACCTTGTGGTGATACAATGCAGCGCAACAAATAGAATACTTTAAGCAGGTTAGTTTATAAATATATCTATATATATTATATATAACTAAGTGTGGATTGAGTTTCTGTAGGAGTTTTCATTTTTTTTCTTATTATTATATTATTATAGATTATACCATTTGTAATTTCGAGGTTTTGTGTTCTCATTTTTTTTTTTAACGTTGTATTACGAAACAATTTGGCGAAAGGGATTATAATAAGATTTTATCAGGTTCGATATTTTCGGTCTTTTTTTTTCTTTATTTAAATGATCATAATATTTTGATTTTAAAAGAAATATCATTATTTCTAATTTATTTAATGCTTATTCAAAAAAGTTAAATTATATATATATAGCTTTTAATAATAATTTTATCTATCGGATATAATAATTAGTTATTTGGTTAGCGTAAATATTTTTCAGAATGACGATGACACAGCAACAAGAAATTCATCCAACCATTTACATCACTCCCATGGCGGCTGCGCCACCTCAGGATATGAAACAACCAGCTGCCGTTAAGCATTTCGTTCCTCATCCATTAACCGCAGACTGTATTGAAGAAGTATTGAATCATCTTTTAGACAGTAGCGGAACTTTATATTCTTGTGCTTTGGTCAATCGTCTCTGGAGTAAAATCGCCATTCCTTTATTATGGTATCATCCATTTGGAAATAAATTGCATGGTAGAAAAGCTCAAATCATATTTGAAACATATATTTCTTGTTTTCCTGATGATAAGAAAAATATTTTATCCATGAAAAAAATGTATTTCCAAACATCAAAACCATTATTCAATTATCCAAAATATTTACGCGGATTTGACTGGAGCAATTTCCAATTTGCAATAATAGAATGGTTTAGTACCATGCCACAACATCATGATCTAATTTCAACATTACAATCTAGTAAATTTTTTATTGCAAATTATCTTATTAGTAGATGTAGGGGCTTGAGAGTTCTAAGGATCGACCTTGACGATTCAACTGAAGATAATAAATTACTGGATTTAGCATCACTTCCTAATTTTCGGTTCATTTTTTCAAAACTTGAAAAACTTGAGATTCAATATGATATATGTTGCGATAATTGGAGGCACAGCATAGATATGATTTCATTATTTGCAACTAAATTATCTATATGTTCTAGAAATATTCAGCATATTTCTATTGTTGATAAAAACTTTAGAGATATTTCTTCACGGCTTTCTCCATATGTTTGTGAGGCATTTTGGCAATTGATCAAGGTTCAAACGAATCTTATTACTCTTGAAGTCCATGAATTTTGGCATCCTGAAAGATCTGAGTTATTTTATAACGTTCTTGAATCTCAAGCTCGTTCATTGAGACACTTAAGCATCTCACATATTTCACAATTTCATCTTTTACTTCCAACATTAACAAGTTGTACTAATCTGGAAACTTTAGAATTTCAAACCGTACCCGATACAAATATGGAAACATTGTTATATACAAAAGACTCGACATCTCAATTATCAATTAAAAAACTTTTATGTTATGATATCAAAGGGGATCCAAAAATTCATAGACTCACTTTAGGGATCATTATTTTTATGACAAATCAACATTTAAGAGAGCTTTACCTTCCAATTGAAATTAGACCCGAATTATTAGATGTGATTTGTCAATATTGTCCAAATCTTGTAAATTTACATCTTGTTTTGACAACACCGCTTCTTTTAAAAATTCTTCCTTACATTTCCACTTTGCCATTGAAATCTTTGGCGCTATTTGACAAAGATAAATTATCATTTTCGATAGAATTAATACAACAAGTAGCTCAATCATTTCCTTCTACGTTATGCAATTTGGAAATTAATTTTCTTATGACATCGCAAGGGCTACAATATTTTTTGGGAAATTGTAAAGGATCATTGAAGAAGTTGGTAATTCATAATAAAACTATGAATGATCAATATTTGGCGGTAGTGACCCGTTATGCAAGAGTTAAAAGAAGTTTGAAAAAGTTTAAGTATGATGGGAAGTTTTCTGAAGAAATGTTAGATAATGCTAGAGTTTGGATTCCGAAGATTGAGAACATTTAATAGCAATGCCCATTCTAAGTATTATTAAGCATTTATATGTTATTTAAGTATTTAGATTTTTTTTTTTTCATCTAAATTTTAAACCTATGCGCCTCAAGTAATTAGTTTTAAATTAAGCATTTTTTTTATAATAAGTATATATTTAAAATTTATAATCCCTTTAATATGGTTCAGAGTTTATGTATAGGTAAAACCATGATTTTTGTCTTATGTAGTTTTTTTTTTTTTTGCATGCCCTGCCGTATGAAATTAAGTATTCTTTTTTTATAATAAAAAAAGAACGGTTTGGTTGATTTTGAAATGAATCAGTGGGGTTATCGTTATTATGGACGTGTGCAATATTCCTTTGTTTGAGTTAATAATCACATGTATCATTAGTTACTAAGTATGCCAATAATTATTTATAATTATTTATATTAGATAAGCAGATCAAAATATATACGGTGATAATATTTACAGTCTTACATCTTCCATCTTTCTCTTGAAAGCTACTTTTACTAATTAAAGCTTTGACAATATCCTTTTTTTTTTAAAAAAAAAAGTTTGGTACATGCGAAGAACATATCCGTCTCTAACGGGAATATTTAAGCGGACAAAGCTATGAGCAGTACATTGTTAAAAACCAATTTTGTACATAAAAGATTTCTCGCCTTTTTTTCTTTTTACACAGAAATTTAGAAAAAAAGGGCTCTTTAGTTTACGCAGTATTCTCTTGGAAGAATTTGTGCTATTTTCCAGGAAAGCATATTGCAATATCGATATTACCGTCAGAAAACAGAATTGAGGTTTGTGACTACATAATTATACGTATGTTTATATTATTTGTTGCATTACTGTTAGTAGGTTCGCTCAGGAAGCTATTATTTTCTTTTATTGCAAATAAAGCTCTTATAAATACTTTTTAATGTATACTTTTACTGTTCCATCTTTCGTTTTTTTTATTACCGCAAACAGGTAAACGAAAGATTTCAAATGTATGTATTAATAAGGTTTAGAATATGTATTTAAGGATAATTTATCATAGAGCTTACCAGAAATGATAAATGACTTAGTCATAAGTATCAGGTTATTTGGATCAAGGTCATTTAGGTCATTTGCGATTGCCGTTGCCATTGCATACAGTACTCCAATAATGGATTTTGGATTTGTCAATTGGACTTTGAACAGTTTTGGACTGTCCAAGTTTCTTTTCAGCAACAGTAAATTTCGTTTTTATGATTGTCCAATCAGGGACGTCTAAAATAATATATATTTTACGTATTGAATTAACTTTAGGATTAGGGTCATCTTATATTGGGTTAGGTTAGGTTTTAGGTAGTAATATATAAGCAAAATTGCCTTAGACATTTTTAATTAACCCACCTGAGGTAGGTTTAGACTGCCGTTTTTTGTATTTTTCAGTTTTATTTATTGTTTTGCTTCGCCGGCGATCATCAAAATTCTATAATTTGATTCGTCAGATATCACGTGATTCTGCTCCGCTTTAGAGGATAGATTAGCGTTAGTGGAGCAACCAAAATTCAGCAGATCGACCAAAATTTAGGGTCGGAATAGGCCGGAATTGATAAATTTCTCCCCAAATCACCTAAAATTTTACTAATAAAATGGTAGCCCACGTACTAAGTAAAGCCTCCCAGATGATAATTTTGTTGTAGTATAGATGGTTAGTATTATTTCTTAATGCCGGCCTAGATCCGGGCCTATTCCGACCCTAAATTTTGGTCGATCTGCTGAATTTTGGATTTTGATAGATTTGTAGTTGATAGGCAGATTCATGTATATGTATAAAAAATCTACATCAAGACTATTAGAATATCAATTAACATAGACTATGTCTGCAACTATAATCAAAATAAAAAAAATTTATTGAATTAGATTAAGTAAATAGCAAATTACATATACTTTAGAAGTTTCATGTAATTTGAATAACTTTATTAATTTGTGTTTCAAAATTCTTAATCTTCCATAAATGCGAAAAAAAGTTATTCAGATTACATGAAACTTTCGAAGTGAATGCAATTTGTTATTTTGAAGCTTTACTTGGAGCACAAACATTGACTAGCTTAATAAAAATTGATTTTTAAAAGAATTACGATTATTAATTATGTTTTTTATCATATAAATAAAAATTTGCATTTATCCTGTAACCAATTTTGATTTGTTAATATGTGTTAGAACACCAATTAACGTACCAGTATGTTAAATGGCCTGTCATTTAGGCATTCGAAATGACCAACGATTACGTAGTCATTTGTCATTTGAGTCATCAGGCTGATAGAATTACCTTATCGAGACAAACATCATACGTAGTATTTTCTTATCAAAAATGATCAAAAATTAATGGCTGCCAAAAAAGTCAAATTATATATACGTATCTATTTTACGTAGTCTAATTCCAAAAATTTGGAGCATATTATGACAATAAAAAAAAAACATTTTTACCTTTTAAACTTGTGATGTTTATGATCTAAATGTGTAGAAGCATAAATTTTAATACACTTTAATCATGATCAATTTTTTTTTTTAAAAAAGAAGAGATTAAAACTCCGGACAATTCTAATTGAGTTTAATATTTTTTAAAGCTTATGAAGGATCTTACGCAGGCAATTCGGCTGATCGGCTCTATTGATTAATCAGTTTTTATTGTACGTACTGAATATACAAGCCGATCGAGCCGTTTTGCATCACTATATATGTTTAGAATTTTAGAAAACAAAATCGACCCGGATCACGTGACACATAATTCCGGAAATCATGTATTGTGCACTTTGTAATATTGTTTCAGAGCATTACTTAATACAGTAATACCAATACTACTTTTTATAAACAAGTTATAAATTGATAAATCAACAAAAACCAATAATTTTCGTTTTTAATAATATCATATTAAACATTGTACAATTAAATTATTGTTCAATTTGATTGCATTGTTATTAGTTACTTATCGAACTTAATAAATTCCATAAGCATATAGACAATAGTTATTAATAAATGCTTTGGTACTATTATAGTATTATTTTGTTCGCTACGTAATACAAGATGTATATGTGTATATGGTGCGTATGTACTAGATTTTAAAGCAAAGAATAATACTGAATGCGAACGCGGGACAATTGAAACGTCATGATTCACATAAATATCCAAAAATAACAAATACTACAGCATTAAGTTTACTTTAAGGTTGTCAAAGAAAGACAATTTTTTATGAACAATATAGGATAAATGAACGTATGTACATACAAATTCCTATAAAAAGTAGAGGGAGGCAGGATTTCGTCCATATCTAACTTCCAACAGTTAATCACTCATTTATATTTTTCATATATTTTTTTAATTTTCACGACACGACATCGAGAGCCTTTAAAGTAAATATCCTTAAATCCGAAAAATGTCAATTGTATCTTACCTTTCTTCACTCCAAGCTTCCGAGTGGCTCTCGGTAATCACGTTACTCTTATGTGTCTATGTGGCGCATTTCTATTATCGATATTTCACCAGAGAGAACCCCCTTCCGGGGCCTATACCCTGGCCGATAGTCGGAAATCTAGTATGTATGACTTTTTTTTTATTAAAAGACTTAATAAATTTTTAAATTTCCATTTTTATTATCTAGCATCAAATGGGCAGTGATCTTGCAGCTTGGGCTCACAAGCTCCAAGGTGAACATGGTGATATGTTCGAAACTTATTATGGCAGTCAACGAACAATTTGGCTAGGCCGTGCCGACCTCGCAGCACCGGTTTTGGCAAGTTCTACAAAAAATAATTATTTCAATCGTGGTGTATCAAGTCCAGGGATGAGAGAAATTGGTCTTGAAACCGTTGGAATTGCAGCAAATCGTGATTATGAATCTTGGAAATTTAATCGAAGATTCTTTAGTACTGTTGTAATGTCACCAAAATTTTTGAAAAAATCTATATCTGCCACTGAAAAATTGTTTATGGAAGCCGAATTATATCTTAATACTCTTGGTGGTGAAATTCCAGTTGATATGTCAAAGTTTTGGTTTAGGTTTTTCGTGGATAGTATGCATCTTTCAGCTACTGGAAAGCCAGCTCATGCTATGGCTGGATATTATAATACATTAGTTCCGAAGAACAAACAAACCGATCATCCTAAAGAACTTCTTGATGCTACCGAAGAAATCATATTTTCTATTAAAAATGAATTTTTCGCCGCCTCATTTATGTTCTTCTTTCCACCTTTTATTCGTCATTATATTTTAAGACATTATAACACTAAATATGTTAATCAAGTTAAACGATTCAATGAGATACTGTTGTCGATTATTAGAAGAAGAAAAGCCGAAATTAATGCAACACCTATTGGAGAGCCTTTGAATCCGGATATGTTAACTTTGTTGTTGACAACAAATACACCTCGTGATCTTGAAATAATTTCTACAGGAGATATTACACGTCCAATGGCTGAAGATGAGATACGTGCTGATCTCAAAGAAATCTTCAGCGTTGGCATTGATACGGTATATTTCTATCGTGTATTATTCATTATTATGATCTGTTTATTATTAGTGCTAATAAATATATTTCTTACATAGACATCAGATTCGTTCTGCTATATCATATGGCATATGTGTAAAAATCCACATGAGAAAGCCAAAGTTCTTCAGGAACTTGATGAAGTTCTAGGCTCTGATCCAATGAAATCAATTCCGTTTGAATCTCTTGATCGATTAAAATATACAGAAGCATTTATCAAAGAAGTATTACGTCTAAATCCAGTATTACCATTCCTCTGGAAGATGGCAACAAATGACGATACCTTGGGTGGAATGAGATGGAAAGCAGGAACTTCGGTATTTATTAACGTTTATGGAACACAAACACATCCAAATAATTGGGAAAACCCGGAGAAATTTATGCCTGCTAGACATTTAGAGGGATATAAAATGAAGGCTGATAGGAATGCATATATTCCGTTCGGTGGTGGACCAAGACTTTGTAAGTATTATTAGTTAGAATACTGGTTAAAAAAAAATAAAAAAATAAATAACTAACTAAATAAAAATAAAATAAAATAAAATAAACTTAAAAAATATTAATTTATTCATTTTAAAAGGTCCTGGAAAAAATTTTGCCATGGCAACACTCAAACTTTTGACGGCTTTATTTTTCCGACGATTCGATATTGAATTAGCTGATAAGAAGGCACCACTTAAAACTTCATTCACCATGGTTAGACACTGTGACGAGTTGAAAGTTTATATCCGACCTAAGATACCCATTGCTGGGTGATTATCTTTAAAAGAAAGTTACCTTATACGATACTTTTTGTGCAGGTATTAATCTTTTTCTTATTGTGGTTAAATTCCAGTTTTTGGGATCTTGTCAACATTTTATATTATAAGTAAGGTACGATAAAAACCCAAACTGTAAATTAAAATTACTATATAATCATCTCGACTAAGAGGTGAGCTTTTAGTTAACTCCTGTAGTTATAATGTAATCATATGTTTTGTAATGTCCTCCTTATCGGAGTTTTTTTTTTTTTTTTTTCCTTAAAGTATCGTATTTTAACATACAAATAAAAAATATTTAAAAAAATTTAATTATAATAGTTTTTGTTAGTGTTTGAAACTTTATCTTTTAAATCTGAACTTTAAAACATTAAGCTACTTCGGCTATTAAGCTATTTAATAATCCGATTTAATGTTGAAAGTTAATCGTTTTTCGATTATTAAGAAAGGTTTGAGGGGTTATTCTTAATGACACTTACTTTATTGTTCCCAGCATCGTATAAAAACGTCAAAAACTTTATAAACTTGAGTAAATCTGAATTTTGTGAATTTTTATTCTCTTTTTTTTTACCTTTTTTATATTATGCATTATCATTAATAAAAGGCAAACTAAATGTATATTTCTGGAGAAACATTTAATTCAACAAGAAATAAAAAAGGTTAGATTTAGAAATATTCTATTGTGCGCATGTAACAATTTCTAAAATACGCTCACAAATATATTGGCTTCGCTTAGTTAAATCTCAAAAATATTGTCGAAATCAAAATAATAATAACGCGCAATTTTACAAAAAAAATCCTTCTGCTCCATACTGGAAACCGTTCGATTTTCCAACGATTGACACTTCTCAGGTCCAATCATGGTCTTCTTCTCAACTTATAACACATTTACGTACAATGTTTACCACACAAGGTTATTTTAAACGTGATCTGTGGACGGAATCGCTTTCACAAAAATTTGTGTCACAACAAATTGATGGTAAGAAGCTTTTGAAGATGGATCGAGATGACTTAATAAGGATCATTGGATGTGCTGATGGAGTAAAGAGATTGATTATTTGGATGTTGGAAGGAGAGGTGATCAGATTAAATGGTTAGTGAGAATACGTTTATAATCTAAGGTTTTATGCGTTATCGTTATAGATTGGTCGGTAATTACTATCCTTTTTTTACTGACATGCATTTAGGACGATACGAAAATGAGATTTATCATGATCCAGTTGGTGATTACAATTGACAAAAAAAAATTCTCAAGCCTTATTTTTTTCATTTTAAGATAGTTTTATTAATTTCATTTTATACAGGGACCTTTGGTGGACTTGATGCACGTAAAACACAAGTAAACAATATTTTAATTGCTGGATATTTAATTAATTACATATGACGGATATACATAGCTAACAATTTATTCGTGTTTTTTTTTTTTTTTTTTTGTTTTTTTTTTTTTTTGAGATTCATACTTTTCAAAAGAAGACCGTCAATGACGATTGGTTGTTTCGAGAATTTCTAGTTCGAAAATTAGATCTAGTACCACCAGCTCACAATCTTCGTCGATATCTTTCCAGCCCTTTAACGTTACGAATACCTGTACAATCAATTTATCTTCAACTTTACCAAAAGACAATTCCGGAAATCCTTTGCTATTTGATCCCACAAGAAAGATGCATGGATCAGCGTAATAACTTGATGACGGCACCTACATTATCATTGCCTTTCATTAACGCCATAAGTTTACCATATCATGACACAGTGTTATCAAATTATACAATTGTTATTGATTCTCTCATTCAAGGTACACTTTCCGTCCTCCATTTCGGAACGCGTAAATGGCTTTATATGAATCGATCAACATCAATTCATTCTCCTGAAGATATATTTCGTCCAGATTGGATGTGTTGGATAAACGAACTTTTATTGGTTTTTCAAGGAATCCAACTTGCTGAAGAAATTGATTGGCAAATAGGAATCTCCTATCTTCATTCAAAAATACATTGGAAGTCAATGTACTACGGAAACTTACCGTACACATTCGCATATATTTCCAAAGGCTCAAAACTACGATTTTTTATTTTTAATCCGAATCTTGAAATGACAACACCGTTAACTCAGATTTCACAAGAATTTAACTTAGATTCTATAATGGACCGATTTGGAATTATAAAAACAGTAATTAACATCTATTCAATTCTCAAAACAATTTACCGAAATTGGGAACATATTTCTATAACGCATATACCCTCAATATCATCACTTCATCCATTATATCTATCTGTACAACGAAATGGTGAAACTATTATCGAATTTTTTGGAGAATTTGTGAAAAAGACCATTTCATCGAATTTAATGAATCGATTTTTTAAGTTTGAAACATTGTGCGCGATTTATAATGATACGAAACATATCAAGAATTTAGTGCATTGTGTGGATATTAATGGAAACTTTGATATGCCTGTGAGAGGAAAAGATGGTGCTTGTAGATTATTGATTCAACCAGTTGGGTACCACTATTATCCGACAGGTGAGAAAGAATGGAAGAGTTGTTTGAGGACTGTTTTGAAAGTACTTCATGACATGCATAAAGTCGGATGGACGCATCGAGATATTCATTGGGGAAATATTATGAGACACGATGGCAATGATATTAAGAAACGAGATAAAGATAGTAATGAGATGAAGGTGCAAAGTATATACAATGATGTTGTGCGTGACAATATTGTTACCGTGACGAAACGAAGTGACAATAATGACGATGAATGGTTGTTAATCGATCTAGAAATGGGAGGCAAAGTTGATGAAGTATTAGACATCACATTATGGGACCGTTGGCCCGAGAAAGCTGAGAAAGGACAAATTTACAAAGCTTGTTACGACGTATGGCAAATTGAGAGAATGTTGCATGAGGTGGGTGATAGCGAATTTAAAACATTTTCCAAATATTTTTGGAAATTTAGGGATTTGTTACGAAAAGCAGCAATAGACGATGTCTCTGCTGCAGAAGCATTGAAATGTGAGTGGTTTGTCATTGATAATGATTTATTCGAGAAAGAGTAACTTTCTTATTTAGAAGGAAAAAACCCCCTAATGTATTTAAAGTATAAAGGAATTCTTGCATGAAATTAAGAAGCTAATATGTATAGTATATATCGATATAATAGCTGTTCACGAGCAAAGAAGTTGTCTGTTACGAATACAAATAATTGATATTCAGCTTTTCTCTGGAGTTATTATTAAATAACCATATCGATATTTGAACATTTTCATATTAATGATCCGAGTTTTCTAATCTTTGAATGTTCGCGATCACATATGCTAAACACTTTATTGATGGCAAATTACGACATCTTGAATTGTAACGTACTGTTGTACTATGTAGATCAAGACTATATATAGTCCTATATGAAAATCGAATAGTAAAAATTTTTCGTGTAACAATCACGAAGATCCATAGTAAAATGCTATAATTTTGAACAAAAATTATTAATATTGCTAAAATATTTTAAATTAATAAAAAAAACTCTCCATTTTTCTAAAATATATACTCCGTCGAGCAACTGAGTGAAATTTTTTAATAAATTAATATGTTAGTTATGGAGGAGATACAATTCGAAATCTAGTAGTATTTAATAGTCTTTTCATAAGAAAAATATTAAATTTCAAATCGTATCTCCTCAAAACTTTACATATTAACTTGACTAGAAATCTTGCCAAATTAATCCTCGAACTTTAAATTTAAATAAAATGGAGCGTTTTTTCAAAAAATTTTCTTTATTAAAAATTTATTTAATTTACCAGATATCTTTAATAATTTCACGTGGTTACACGAAACTATAATAATTTATTACTGTAACGACAGTGCCATAAAGGATGATACCGATATTTAAGTAAAAGCTGACCTGTCATCTACATAACTTCTTAATGTATGTAAAGTTAATATTAAACAGTAAACTCATAATAGTTAGGTAAAGAATGACAATTTGAGTAAAGTATGAGACCTTCCGGGATAACAGTCGCAATTTGAGTAATCGATGATAGTAAGTTGGTAATTGTGAGATAATAATGAGAAAAATGACTTTATTCTTTCTCTGGACGACAGTCACAAAGTGTAAGGCAAGTCATCAAATTGAAAATTTCGGGTTTATGATTGGTAACCGGTCGGGACAGTATCATGAAAATGCCTGTAATGACCTGTCTGGAAGCTAATCATATTAGGGAATAAAGTGGGGCTAAATAAAATAATATGAACAATCAAAAAACCGTAGCAAAATCTTATTTTCTAAATGATATTTGTAACTCTTATTAGTTATGAGTCTTTTGTTTCCTGTCGCATAGGTCGTTCGATTTAATGATTTTCAGACAAAAACAAAATATTTTGCCAAACCAAATAGTGGTAAGGTACTGTTTGATTTGCATGCCGCTATTTAATTTTAGTATAGATTTGATGGACCATAGGAAAGAGTAACTAAACTTATACATTTTTGGAGATTTTTCATTGTTCAGACTATGAAAGATTACCGAAAATGTATAAGCCTAAACACTCCAAGAAAGGTCATAGCTGTTTGTTTTATTGAATTAGTACTCGCGAATTCAGAACAATGTATCTTTAGGACAGAAGTTTGTTTTTTTGTTTGATTTTTATTGATATATTTAAGAATGCTTTGTATGATGATCAGTAATGATTTTATTAAATAAAGCCATTATGTGTACTTTAATAATTAAAATCTGCCTGCACGAAATTGTTTGCTAAAATGTAATAAATAACGCTCGTTTTTTTGCGATTCACTGTAAAGTTAGTAAATATATCGTTCCATTTAAATATCTATATCTAAATTTCATCAATTCGAAACTAAAATTTGCAATGCCAAAATTACCAAAGCAAAAGCGCCATTTACAAAACTTAAATCAACAGATGTTGACACACAAAATTTTTAATATAATTACCAAATTTGATCACGAATATCTCCCAAAAATTCATAAAATTCTTACCAGTATTACAAATGACACTCGAGAAGAAGAAATGTTTCAATCAATTCGTGAAATGCCAGAACCACAAAAAGCAAACGCGTTAAGGCTTTTTGATACAATGCGAAATCCAAGAGGCAAACATGCTAACGAAATCATTTCGCCTTACCTCCAAAAAAAGGCTCTTGAATTTATTACAGAGCATCCAAAAAATCAAGCTAAAAAATTAAAGGCTGAAAATATCGAGTTAAAGTCAGTAAATAGAAGGTTAATGCGAAATAATAAAAAACTAATACACAAAATCCAGTCAATAGGTAGGGTAATATTGAAAATTACATTCTTACATACGTTTCATAAGTTTTGTTCATGCGCAATAATGTTTTTACCCTATCAGGTAGTTCAAACAGACATCTTCAAAACAAAATTAAAAATCGAATTTCAACTATTCGATCATTAATAAGAAAATCGAAGCAAATTCCCCCTAATGAATTTAAGCGTCAAATTAATCTGTTATTTAAAACAAATAATCGTGAATACTCGCCCCAAATGGTCTGGCTTTCGACCAAGATTTCGCAAATTGGGCAAACTTCTTTAACCGCGACAGCTGAATCGTTACGTCTAGTCTATGAATTCTTAACCGGAGAGCCCCCACAAAGATGGTTATCCGTGACGACCCTAAGTACTTGGCATAAAGAAGTTTCACAAATTGAAACTGAAGCTGGAATACATAAGGCCACACAATGTTCATGCTATGGAATCCTCGTCGATGAATCAACTCGTGGAGAATTTAAATATTTCGTAGTATGCATAATGTTTTGGGATTATAAAAAAAACATACCATCAGTTACTGTGACCAATC